TTCAGGAGACAGGAAGTTATGCTATTAAACTTCTAAGTGTTCATAAGCATGCCCAATATCTGTATGTAACACTGTATGTGGATCTTAAATACATGGTCCATGAAATGTTGCCATCCTACACCTGGTGGTCATGAATTTTCATAGGGAAACTTTCAGAAGCAGTTTTTTCTTGCTTATAAAAGTGGACATGCAGGAAGACCTTGGGAACCTTAGTTCTGCTTCTTCCTTACCTGATACCAGCCTCAGCACTGGTCCATAGCAGGAGTTCTCAGAGGTGTAGGCACTGGGTTGAACTGACATTCCAACCCCTCAGCCCATTCTCTGTGACTGGCCTTGTGCAGTCTCTTAAAAAACGAGCTAGAGTGCTTTCAAACTGGAACAACAATAAAGAGGACCACTTTCTCACCTGTTTGAGATGGAGGTTGGGTAAGGAACTGTAGAAGGAAGTTGGAGCCCAGGGACCAGCATTTTGCAAGAAGTTCACTAGCTACTTCTGACAGACTGCCAGTTTCCAAAGTTAGTGGCTAGAACATGCCATTCAACCCTTCTGAGCGACAACTGAGATTGTAATTAAGCAGCTAAAAGAGAGACTTACAGGAGTGCATAGGTTTGATTGCTCGTCTTTATTTCTGCCCCTGCTTCTTCCCCTGCCACCTTCCCCATGGTGGCAGTCATGTGAGCATAGTTGGGGATCTAGGGAAATGCTTACAAAATACAACCTACCAATATCAAACTTAAATGTTCCTCATGGAAAGTTCAGGAGGCTGTTTGTGGCCGTCTATTATGATGGAACCAAAGCTGAGGAGCAAGAGTTATTGGGTTTATTCAATCATAGGTTGTGCCCCTTCCTCCGTCTTTCTTCTTCTCTTACCTGCCTGTCCCACACTCACCTGAGGGTTGGCAGGCAGATGAGACTTGTTTATTAGGTTCCAGTGTCTTGGCTGAGCCAAGAAACACAGATGAAAATTAGTGATGAAGCCCAGCCCAGGGATATGACAGAAGTAAGCCGTGTAGTGGTGATGTTACTCATTAGGGCTCTTGTCACTTCTCAGTCTGGTTTCATTTTGTAAGTCACTAGAACAGTTAATGCAGTGTGTGGCACAACAAGGTTTCCATTGGGGCGCAATCAAAATGGAAGCTGGTTTCCCCACTTGCTTTAATCCCTCTCCTTACATCAGCTTGAAGCAGAGAGGGGCCCCCAATGGATTCCTGTGCACCAGCCCAGCCTCCTACAAAAGGGAGATTTTTGCCTGGACAACTCAAAGGTAAAGTAATTAGTACACATTAATCATTACAAGAATGGTACTAAAAGTCTAATCCTCTTAGAACTAAAACAAATGAAGCTGAAATAGCAATATAAAAGCAAGAAGGAACAACACCCCCCCCAAAAAGCGTGTTGAGAGGGTAATGAGAAGACATGGTTCTGAAACCCCAAATCTTATAGCTGAAGAGTATCCCCGCAAAAGGACTCCCCAGCCTTCCTCAGCTGCCTATTAGCCCAAAGCATTACACATCAGGGCCATGTGGCCATCCCCTTGCAAGCCCAGGAGCTCTATGTATGATCTGGAACTACTATTATGCAGTTTGATGTCCAACTGGTTGTCTACAGATGGAAAATTGCGCCCCCCCAATTCACCTGGAATCAGCTGGTCAAGAATTTGTCTGTGAGAAAAAGGTGGCCTCCCCTTCCCAGCAAAGGGGAGGTCTTCAGTCAAACTTCAACATGAGGCCAAATCTGAGCCAAAGCCTGATTTCCTGATTTAGACAGGGCGTGTTGGCCTCATTCACATCCCACCCAGTGATTTCTGTCTTGTCTCTCAGTCTGTGAGGTCAGAGCTGTCTGGGAAGAAAATCCATGTAACATGGTAAGTCATGCTGCTGTCATGCCTGGTTACAGTAATATCTTGAAGTGATGTAGATGGGGCCATCTGCAAGTAAGAATGTGTGCTGTTATCTACAACCAATGACATATCCAATAATACATCCAATGGTAGATAAGCTTGGACTAGAGATGAGGGTATTGAAATGTCTTTACCAGACTCTCAGGTTGCCTTTCATGGCCCTCTTATTGTTCTTCATTAGTTTCCTTTTCTTAGGCTCCCAGCCAATCCCACAGTTGTCACACATAGAAACAGTTCTATGTCTGGCCAGCATCTTTCTTCCCTAAGACAGTATATACTTTCTGTAGATCCACAGTGAATCAGACTAAAACTTAGGCACAAGAAAGCTTGCAGACTCTTCTCCTGGTCTCACACAGCACAGCCAATGCTTCATTTTGCTCCAATACCCATATCCCAGAAAAAGTCACTTGGGGAAATTAAGAGAAAATAAAGGAAACAGAGAAGCCATCTTGTTAGTGAATTGGAAGTTGCTTTATCATTTGCAGAATTATAAAAGAAAGGGAAGTTTATAAATCAGAGATTGATTGCTGGGATTTCATCATGTCTTTGCAGGGATAGCAGGACACATAGAGCACATCTTTTAAAACTGGAACTCTTCCAGATTTAATTGTTTTTAATTATATGTGTACATGCATGTGGGGAGGGGCAGGTGTCAGGAGGTACATTGAGCGCAGGTGTCTGAGGATGCCAGAAGGGGGCAGTCAATGTCCCAGAGCTGGAGTTACAGGTGGTGGAGAAATCAAGTCTTATCTGCTGGCCCATCCTCAGGTGAGTGTGGGAGAAGGAGGCAAAGGGACAAGAAGAGGAAGGATGGAGGGGCCCAGCCTAGGCTTGAAAGATCCCTGAGAGCTCTTGCTTCTGAGCTTTGGTTCAAGCCTCATGTCCCTCCTCATCGGCAGCCACAAACAGCCTCCTGAACTTTCCATGAGGTACATTTAAATCTGATATTGGTAGGTTGTATTTTGTAAGCATTTCCCTAGATCCCCTCCCCAATTATTCTCACATGACTGCCACCACTAAAGTGAAGGAGGAAGGGGAGGGGACAAGAAAGATAAAGATAAGCAATTGTATGCATGAAGGCAGGGTTTAGATGAGTTCACCAGACCCAAGCAAAATGAAAACTAGGTGTTTTATTGGGGAAGAACTTACACAGATAAGAGTAAGTAACCGCCCTGTGGCCTTCCTGCTCCAGAAGATGCAATCTCTGCCCTCCTGGTGCTCTGAGACCCAAGAGTGGCCTGCAGCTCCTCTACCTTAAAGGGGTCATGTCCTCACCTGAAACCATTCCCAAAGGGTGTGACCAGTACTACAAGTTCACTGGCAAGGCAAGATGCCACTACAGTGTGCACTCTAGTAAAGTCTCTTTTAGCTGGTTTTACAATTTCAGTTGTCACTCAGATGGGCTGAATAGCATGTTCTAGCCACTTAGCCATTTTATTGTATGAGAAACCCAGTTTACAAATTCAGTTCTTTTCATTAGTTTGAAGCTACCAGCTAAGTACCATACTAGTTACCCTTCTGTTGCTATGATAAAATACCACAACTAAGCAGCTTATAGAAGAAAAAGGTTATGTTTGCAGAGGGCTAAGAGTCTATCATGTTGGGCAAGCATGGCAGGGAGTGATAGTGTGGCAGCTGGCACGGGAAGCTGGAGCTTACATCTTTAATCACAGTCATAAAGCAGGGAGAACTAACTGGCTGTAGGCAAGACTTTTTACTGGAAAACTCCCATCCCTCAGTGATGTACTGCCTCCAGCAAAGCCTACACCACCTAAACTTCGCCAAACAGATCACAAGCTGGGGACCAAATACCTAAACACCCAAGACTGTGGGGTCCACGTCTCATTCAAATCACCACAACTGTCCAGGATTCTAAGCTGCCTATTTTTAATACCTTGCTCTTTCTTCCACACACTATGCGACCATTGAAAATAGATAGTGTCATACTAGGAAGAGGGCCAAGGAGTCACCGGCCAGAGTTGAGGTTCATTCTCCCCAGAGTCCTCCTAGGTCCATGCATGTATGTCTGCAACATGGATTAGGGAGGTGTTTGATTTACCCCCATTGCATAGCTCATGTCATGTGATTGTGAACTTTGTGTCTTTTCCAAAATGGAAAATATTCAGCTTTTGATGAGATTATTAGCTCTCCTCCTGTCCAGGTCCAACAAATGAGAAACAGATTTGTATGTATAAATAACAACAACGTGCTGAAATGATTTGTTTAGTAAAGTTACTGTTTTGGAAACTAAATCATCCTATCGTGTCAAGATCCAATCTGCCCTCACATGGCAAAGGAGACTTCTCTGGGGTCCACTCTTAAAGAAAATGTCGAAATACTATTAATAACTTACTTCCGCCATGTGAGAATAACAGTGGAATCCAGCTATGAGAATGAAACTCAAAATAATGATTATGAGAACATACTGACAATAGCCCCTGTTATTTCTTATTGGATTCAAAACACAAAACAGAGATAAACAAACAATTCCCTCCCAAAAGGAAAGGAAGGAATGAAAAGGGAAAGGCATTTTCCTACTGTACACATTTTCTTCATCATGTAGAATTAGAATTGGAAGGTGAGTCTGTGGTCATTGCGTATCAGGACATTGAGGAGAGGACAACCACAAATGTGGGTTGAACCCTGTTTCTGTGCTTTCTATGTAAGAAGGATAATAGGCATTGGAAACTAACCATTACATCACAGCCTTCCATTTAGAAAACCTTTAAGCTAGGATGCAGGGAAGTTGCTGCATAAACTAAATGAAAGCTTCCATGCATGGGGATCATAGTCTAGAAAGTTCCAGGAACCACCTATGACTCTGGATCTGAATGGTATTGTTGGTAACTACAGTCAATACACTCATCTGCAGCATTGTCCTGACTTGAAGCCAGGATTTTAACTTTAAATCAACTCCATAAATGATCAGTGGCCTTGCTGTGAAATTGGCCTAAAGAAAGTGAAGTTGAAAATTTGACGATATCAACATAGAGCCTGTTTCTGATTGGAGCACCAGAGGGTGGAGGGAGCAGACTGAGTAATCTGGGAATTAAACTGAGTCTCAGCTCTGTTGTTTACAAGCTGATTGGCTTTGACAGACTTTGCTGAGTTTCTTTTATTCCCAGGATCTTCATTTGAAGATTGGAAATAGTGGTATCTAATTTGGCAGGGACATTCAGAAGAAACAGCCATATCATGTGTGGTTCTGAGCATAAGGTGGGTACATAGCTAGTAAAATAATATGATTTATTTACTTACAATAACTCTTAGTATACCTTTCAAAGTGTTGACTGTTTTCCTAAAACTGTCCCTTTATCTTTTAAAGTGTCCTGTACCTTTTAAATTGATGACTGTTTTGCTAAAGCTGAACAGAACCCAATCTTAAACCATTAATTAAAAGTACAGGCAAAGTCTGATTCATATAGATATTTCCTGAAAAAAAAGGATGAGGACATTTTCAGTACAGCTTTACTTAAATTGTTCCCACAACATGGAATGAAAATAAAAAATGCAAAATTTGAAATTCTTGTATCGATATATCTATACCTATTTTTCTATGATATTAAAGAAATATCTCTTTCTCCCTCCCTCCCCTTCCTTCTATTTTTCCTCTCTCTCTCCATCCTTCCCCTCCTCTGTATTTGTGTGTGTGGTTGTTCACATGGACATGCATACTTGTGGGTTTAGGGAATGTTAATTTCATAATGTGACATAAGTTTGCTGAGAAAAGACAGAACAATTGTGGGACCAAAGAAGTTGATGACAGATGTGTAGAGGGGGTGGAGCCTGGGAAACCGTGGGAAGATACTCAGAGGAAGCAGGGGGAGTAGAAGCAAGCATCAGAGTGAAGCAAAGCTAACAGCCCTCTGGGCTTCATTCTTGTTTGTTTGTTCATTTGTTTGTCTTGAGGTTTGGGAAAACAAGATTGGAGTGGATCTGTGGGATGGTTTACATGAGGAGTGTGTGGTTGGTGCTAATGCCGGGGCACAAATGGGAAAGCATCAGGAGTGTGTGGTCTTTTATTAAAGGGCGTACAAGACCATGCCCTAGAAGAGAAAAAAATGCCTGAAGTAGAGACAAATTATATAAATCGGAAGAAGAATAAACAAAGGAAGCCAGCTACTCATATGGATGAAGGCAGAGGATAACTTTCAGACCTGTTACTTTATAATTCAGAGAAAGTTGCATGTCTCTGGTGACAGCGACTTATGTATCTCTAGGATGGGACTTTGCCTGGGGGGAAGCAGAGCAAACATCTGATATGCAGGTTAAGTGTGGTTTGTCGTGGTAGGTGCCAGGAGTCAAGAACTGTAGAAGTGTGTGTGTGTGTGTGTGTGTTACAATGCCTACCTAACATATGCATGGCACTAGCATGCTCTCAAAAGATCCCCTTCAGTTTAAGCAGACATGTTTAAGGATTCAGACACATGTGTACATATACAATTTTGTATTTATATTACCAGAATTCCCTTTTAAAGCTTTTTATTTTATGTGTATGAAGATTAATCCTGCATAAGTGTAAGTGTGCCACATGTCTGCCCATAGCCCATAGAGGTCAGAAGACAGCATCAGATCCCTTAGAACTGGAGTTAGGTATGGTTGCTAACTAACTACAATATGGGTGCCCAGAACTGTACCTGGGTGTCTGCTGAAAGAACAATTACTCTTAATGGTTGAGCTGTCTCCCCAGTCTTGCTCAAATTCATGAACAGAATTTGTGATCCTCTTTCCAAAATATTTGTATGTATACAAATACTTCAGCAAGCACATTTTTGTAGTTTATATTAGGCTCCATTCTAAGATGTTTATTTCTTTAAATCCTAAAACTAGCCCCACAAGATGGGTGTTATTGACTCATGTTTTGGATGAGGAAAGAGATTTGACTAAGGTAAAGTAAGCCCCCTGCCATCACACATTTCACATAAGGTAAACTACAACTTCAGCCGAACATCCTGATGTCATATTCTGCAAAATAAACAGTCACTATCTATTCCTGGACAAGATGGAGCCAGCTTAAGAAAATGCCATCATAGTAATCTGAGCAACAACAGAGGAGTCAGGGTGTTGGATCTGAGCTTTCAGCTGATTCTGAGGCTTGTGCACCATTTCATAAAATTCCCCAAAGTGGATGCAGTATGACATTTTAACCTCGTGCTGTACTCTGCCATGTTTTATTACTTCTCTGTACACCAGGCAATAGGACTCCAAACAGAGATGAGAGGTCAGCTTAAAGGAAAGAGCATGAAACTACTGAGAGCCCTTTTCTTGTTCCCCCTACACAGGTCCCACAGGTCTTAGAAAGCCCAGGGCTTGATATTTACCATTCACTGGCTCTACACACATGGAGATCTGCAAGTGGAAGCCACAGCAAAAGAAGAAAGTGGAGTTCAGCACCTCCCAGCAGTCCTGGTGTTTCTGGAGGACACACTGAGGTTGCCCTTTGATGGTTGCTGGGTGGCTCTTTAAGGCCAGCAAGGCAAGAGGCAGCACTCACAGAGAGTCCTGACCTTCACAGAACTTTTGCAAAGGAAGCCAGAGCATGCCCCATCTCTGAAGGTCTAAATTGGGTGAAGTTTCTTAACGGTCATAGGAGCTTCCTAATGTCCCACAGTTCATCAGCTGCTACACAGTTCTGCCTGCTTGAAGTACTTATCTTCTCTGTCCCTGCACCCGGCCCTGCCCTTCCTCACAAGGCTTCTTATTCTTTCTCTCTTTGCCATTCACAGTGGAGTCCTGCATTGGCATCGAGTTTAGACAGAGGTGGAATGGCACACACCTGGGAACAGGAACCCAGGCCTCTCATGGGCTTAGTATGACTGTTGAGGCATTTGGAACTCACCTGAAGAGAAATAAACATAATATATTGACTGGGCTGGGCTGGGCTGGCTGCTGTAGACAAATGCTGTACTGTTCAGTTTTTACTGAGGTTTTACATCTGTTCTGTTGATACCTGGGTACACAGATTTCTGGAGATGACTTCTATCTGGAGTTTTCCTCATTGCATTTCCACATCCTAACATATAGCTAGTGCTCAAGTGTATGGCGAAGTGTCCCTGTCTAGATGGTCCTATTCATCTTTGGGAATCTAGTTGTTAGCATAATGTGGACTTAAATGTCATGTGGTGTGCGTCTGCAGTTCCTGGGTAGAGGAGCTGAGGGGCATTTTAACACAGACAAAGGAGCTTTCTAAAACTAACATTTCCTTTAAGGGTCACACTATGATATAGGAGTGGTGATGTTACTTCACTCACTATTACAACAAAACACAAGACAAAGCAACTTAAGGAGGGGGAGCTCATTTGGTTTACAGACTGTGTTGGGGAGCAGGGGACAACACTATGGGCAGGAACAGAACAGTTAGCCATATTTCATCCACAGTCAGGAAACAGAGAGCAAACTATTTTCTCTGGTGAGGTTCTACCTCCAAGGATTCCACAATCTTCTTAAATAGCACCACCAGCTGTGGGCCAAGTGTTTGAACACATGAACCTATGTGATGATTTCATATTCAAATCCTAGCAGGAGAGGAGTCAGGGAGATCAAGGCATCCTTGATCTTCAGTTTCCCAGAATCACACAGAGTGGAAGGAACCGAATCTACACAATTAGGGTCATCCAAATGTCAATCATGCCCATGAATATGACCAAGAGTACCACTCATTCTGTAATTACATGCCCTGGCTTTGAATTAATGCCTGTGTTTAAATATTTTGTTTAACTTATTATGCAAATACATGTCCTGGTTTTGAAAAAAAAAGAGTCTTCCCTCAACATTTCAAATCAACATTCCCCCCAACATACATTTGGGGGTTTGTATGCATGTCTGTCAAGTGTGTATGGGTACCTATGGAGGCTGAAGAGATCATCGGGATCCTTGGGCTGGATTCTCTGGAACAGTAAACAATATCTCCTGCCTCTCAAATCAGTGTTCTTGGTGACTTAGCTTTTGATGAGTTCTATCTCCATTGTGGTATTTGATGAGGAAAAGCAACCTCACCTGGGTATTTCTGTTGAGCTTGCCTTTCCAAGGCCTCAGCATCTAGAGAAAACATGACCTCATGCATACAGCATGCATTAGTGAAAATTTCCATATGCAAAATGATGATTGATGATATAGGACATTTTTGTCATATATATGTACACATATGCTTCACATGCCTAGGCCTCATGTGCCACTAGTTTTTCTATGTATATATGATGCTGCATGTGCTCTTCTATGGCTTGAAAGCAGTGCTTGACCAAAGGCTCTAAAGTTTAAACCTGGCTCTGCCTTAAACTTTCCCTGGACCACTGACAAATCAATCAGGTTTTCTGAACCTTCTTAATCTATATTTGTTGATGTTATTATGGTCTACAGGATAAGAGATCTAGAGACTCAAAGTTTTCTTTTGGCTTCTGTCAAGATTCTTCTAAAGCAATAGAAATCAATTCAACTACTTGATAGCTATGATTACAGCCATGCACCACCATGCCTGACTCATTTGGTGTTTTCTTAATTGGAGAATTTTTCAAATTCTGACAATTGATTAAAGATCAGGCTTAGACTAAATTGAAAGATTTGTATAAGGCAACTTGTAGGTGAAGTTAGAAGTTTTGGTAGTCAAGATCCATCATGCTGATCAAAAAAGTAGAAAAAGAATTACCATATAACACTGTGATTCTACTACTGGTATATAGCCATGGAGGAAGAATTGGTATTCTGAAGAGATAGCTGCACCTAGTTTTTACCATAGCACTGTTTATAATAACCAAGACATGGGATCAAACTAAAGATCAATCGCCAATTGAACAAATGAAGAAAATGTGGCAAATATACAAGATTGACCATTACCCAGCTGTAAAACAGCTAAATCATTCTCCCCCTTTTTTGCACCACAAATGGAACCAGGTAACATGATGCTCAATGAAATAAGTTGGAACTTGTATAGCAAAGGAGAAAAGCACCTCCACATGCACACAGTGGTGTATGCATTCCCACACACATGCATGGTACATAAACAAAGTTGTATGTGTGAAGCATTACAAAGAGGTCTTCTATTTAGTCACATACCAAATGATGTTTTAATAACAGACCATGTGTCAGGTTATATATACCATATGACAAGGTGTACAGTGGGCAAAACCATGTAGCTTTGAACACCTACTTGGTAGTGTTCCCACAATGCTCAGTTCAACTAATAACTCATTTCCTCAGAATGCATGCCATCTTTAAGCAATGTACACTTGTATTTTATATTCAATTTGATGATTTTTTTGCTTTTCTTTCTTAGTGCTTCATACAGTAAAGTTGTAGCTGAGAGATGGCAATATCCTGTATTTAGTAGAACATGCTAGATTTCTGATCTTGCAAAAGTAAATCTTATTGAGGTAAATATCAATTAGTCTTATTTATAATATTAACCCTCACTGTAACTAGTCTGGCAGGTTACCACATTCAAGAATTGATTTACTATGGTTAAATGTTTTTCTGGAAAAGTACAAGTAGAATGAAATCTGAATGAAGAAAATAAATAAAAGAATGGTATGCTTGCTCCTAGGTATGGTGGAGGAGAAAACTTATTGCTAATATGAGGGAGAGTATAGCCAGAGGCATCTGGAAATGTCCTAAGAGAACGTGACCCTGATCCAGGCTGTAAGAGGTGGCAAGTGAGGGGAGAGGAAGAGAAAGGAACCTGGGTAGCCAAGAGGCCAAGGGGATAAAAGGCAAAGGGGCAGCTTAGCCAAAATGTCTGAATTATACAGGGAAGAGCAACTGGGAGAAGGATAGCCCAGTCCCTGGGCTGGATAGCAGGGAAGGGACTGGTGTGTACCAGCCAGGACACTGTAACAAGTAGGGATTAAGGGATGATGGGAGAACTGGCAGCCAGTGTCAGCTTTGATGTTAATAGGCACCACAACTAGCCTTTTGTCCTTGGTTGAGACCTAACAATATCCTCCCACTTGAATTGTTGAAACAGAAATGTCCCCATGGTTTCTGGTCTTTGATATTTTTGGTACAAGTTAGTGGTGCAATTTGGGGGATTTGAGGGATGTGGTCTTGCTGGAAGAGGTATGTCACTGGAGGCATATTTTTCTGAACATTGTACAACCTCGCCCCACTTCCAGTTTGCTCTCTCTCTTCTTCATTCTTTCACTTGAAGATGTGATCTGTTAGCTTCTTGCTCCAACCAGCAGGCCTGTGCTTTGCTGGCATGCTTCCCTTCCAGGATTGACTCGTATCTCTTCAGGGCTGTGAACTAGCATAGGCTCTTCCTTCTAAAATTTGCTTCTTCACATAGTGTTGGGTCACAGAAACAGACACATAACTAATTCAGTTGGTGTAGAAAACTGTTTTTAATTTTTGTCTTTAAAGAATAAAATCTTGTATCGCAAGAACGTTGAGTCTTTAAAGAAAGAAATTAAAGAAGCCCTCAGAAAATGGAAAGATCTCCCATGCTCTTGGATAGGTAGTATCAATGTAGTAAAAATGGCAATCATGCCAAAAGCAATCTACAGATTCAATGCGATCCCCATTAAAATACCAGCACAATTATTCACAGACCTTGAAAGAACAATAATCAATTTTGTATGGAAAAACAAAATACCCATGATAGGCAAAGCAACCTTACTCAACAAAGCAACATTTGGAGGAATCACCATCCCTGACCTCAAGCTCTATTATAGAGCTGTAGTCCTGAAAACAGTTTGATATTGGCACAAAAATAGACAGGTAGGCCAATGGAATCAAATTGAACACCCTGATATTAACCCCTACATGTATGAACATCTGATCTTCGACAAAGAAGCTAAAAATATACGATAGAAAAAAGAAAGTATTTTAACAAATGGTGCTGGCATAACTGGATGCTGGCATGTAGAAGAATGCATATCGATCCATGTCTATTGCCATGCACAAAACTTAAGTCCAAATGGATCAAAGACCTCAACATAAATCCAGCCACACTGAATCTCTTAGAAGAGAAAGTGGGTGGTGCCCTTGAACGAATTGGTACAGGAGACAGCTTCCTGAACATAACACCAGTAGCACAGACAGAGAGATCAACAATAAATAAATGGGACCTCCTGAAACTGAGAAGCTTCTGTAAGGCAAAGGACACAGTCAGCAAGACAAAAAGGTAGCCCACAGAATGGGAAAAAATATTCACTAACCCCACCCACATCTGACAGAGGGCTGATCTCCAAAACTTACAAAGAACTCAAGAAGCAAGTCTCCAAAACACCAAAGGATCCAATTAAAAAGTGGGCTACAGAACTAAATAGAGAATTTTCAATAGAGGAGTCTAAAATGGCTGAGAGGCACTCGAGAAAGTGCTCAACATCCTTAGCCATCCGGGAAATGCAAATCAAAACAACTCTGAGATACCATCTCACTCCTGTCAGAATGGCTAAAATCAAAAACACCAAAGACAATTTGTGCTGGAGAGGTTGTGGTTAAAGGGGAACACTCCTCCACTGCTGGTGGGAGTGCCAACTTGTACAGCAACTTTGGAAATCAGTATGGAGATTCCTCAGAAAAATGGGAATAAACCTACCACAAGACCCAGCAACTCCACTCTTAGGCATATATCCAAAAGATGCCCATTCATACAACAAGGATGTCTGTTCCACTATGTTCATAGCAGCATTATTTGTAATAGCCAGAACTTGGAAGCAACCTAGATACCCTTCAACCGAAGAGTGGATAGAGAAAATGTGGTACATTTACACAATGGAGTACTATTCAGAAGAAAAAAAAAACAATAGAATCCTGAAATTTGCAGACAAATGGATGGCTCTAGAAGAAATCATCCTGAGCGAGGTAACCCAGTCACAAAAAAGAAACATGGCATGTACTCTCTCATATATGGATTTTAGACATAGATCTGAGGAGTGCCAGCCTACAGTCCCATGCCCAGAGAGTCTGGGAAACAGAACCTTCATTCAGTTGCTGATGGAAGCAGAGGCAGACTCCCATGGCTAAGCATTGAGCTGAACTCAAGAAATCTAGTGACAAAGAGGAAGGACAGATGGGCAAAGGGATTAAGACTAGGCTGGTGTAATCCCCAGAAACAGCTGACCTGACAAGGATTAGCTCTTGAATCCCAGAATGATGCCTGGGAATCCAGCATGGGACTGATCAAGAACCCCTGAATGTGGGTGTCAGTGAGGAGGCCTAGGTAATCTATTGAGCCTTGGGTAGTAGATCAGTATTTATTCTGGGTATACAAATGGACTTTGTACTCCCATCCAACAATGAGAGATGCACACCCACCCTGAACTCTTGGGGGGAGGGTCTAGGCCCCGCCCTGGATGAAATGACAGACTATGGACACCCCCATGGAGGGCCCCACCCTCCCTGGGGAAATGAGGGGATATTGGGGGGGGGTGGGAGGGCATGGGAGGAGGGGAGGGAAAGGGAGAGGGACCTGGAATTGACATGTGAAGCAACCTTGTTTCTAATTTAAATTTAAAAATAAAAAATATATAAAATAAAAATAAATAAATAAAAAGATTGAAATCTTTCTACAAATGAAATCTATTTTTCAGAACTGTTGTATTCAAAGCAGATAACATGTAGGTATACTGATTGTGAGAGGATTGGGGTGATGTCAGATCCACTTGCTCTATTGTCTCCTTATCCTCTGTGGTGTTTCCATGATGCTACCCAGAATCTTAGCTTTCCAATATTGGGGCGGGAGCTGGTGATTGACAGTAGACCTGCTGTGTCCTACACATCCAGTCACCTTTGTTTTAAACACAACTCTAACGAGCCTGGTTGTATGGTTGCCTAGTGTATAGCACGTTTATAGGCAATGAACTGTGTGGAAGGAATACCTATTAAACACTGGCATGGTGATCTCACAGGACTGGTTCTAGAAGCCAGAAATGTACCTGAAAAACTACAAAGGGAAGCTTTTAAAAAAGAAACCTTTTTTTTTCCTTCTACATTTCGTTTTGAAAATCTCAAATCTAAAGAACATTCAGTCTGTTGCTCAGAAGTTGCCAACTTTTATGGAATTTGCTGATGGTTGATGGTCACATTTTACAATATTTGCTTTATGTTACATTTTTAGTCATATATTTCACATTCAGACATTTGACAAAGACAAAACATTATTTGGTACATAATAATTATCTTCACAATTATCCCTATAAACCCCCATACTCCAAATGCAGCTTTTTGAATAAGGACAGCACTAAGAAATGTTTAACATGTTGTTATCATGTAGACTGAAATCCAACCAACATCAATTGTTTAGGAAGGTAACAAAGTACTATGGAAATGTGGAAGAAAATTAGGATTATGGGGATAGCGTTCACACACTCTTCTGGGTCAAATGTGTAAGGCACTGAAGTTTAATAATTCCCATCAGAGATAGTCTAGTGACAGCTATATTAGCCTCTCCAAAGCTCAGGGACCATCTTGGGAGAAGTGGTAGCGAGAATGTAAGATTCAGAGGATACAGAGTTTTGCAGCAAGATGATGTCTTCTAGGCATGGCATAACCCCTGAACCCAGGAACTCACAGCAGCTGTGATCTGCCCCTTGCCTGCATCAGATTGGGTACCTCAGCATTTCATCGTGGATATGTGAGAGAACCATGGGGCTCTACCCCTCCAAAAGGGAATATAGGTAATTAATGATTCTTGGAGTAGGAGATGTGATTTCTCTCTTAGTGTAACCACTGATAAATTGGCCTTGATAATTGGGTAAGCAATTCCAATTAAACTCAGTAGGTCAGACATTAAAAAGAAAAGAAAGAAACAGCAACAAAAAAACCCACAAAGATATGACAATCAGGAGGGACAGGTTGTTGAGAAGGAGGACTCCAGAGAGATGGAGGGGGCAAGAGAGAGGAATGGGAGGTGAAAGAGATGGAAATTCACTATGTAACTGTATGAAAGTGTCAAACAATGAAAAATAGTTTAAATTGCTTAGAGATGCTATTTTATGGTAGAACATTTGCCTAGTATATGCATGGCCCCAAGTTCAAACCTCAGTGCTGCAGAAAAAGAAAAGAAAAGAATAGGAAAGGAAAGGAAAGAAAAAGAAAGGAAAGATCATATGAGCAGATTCAGTGAAGAGACACATTTACATGAGTAGAATATTGTACTTTCAATGTAATGCTGTTGGATAAACAGTGCATCACTGCATATTATCGGTATCCTTTTATAGTTAAATGATTGACAGAAAAATCTAACTAACTGGTTATATTGAAAAGGAGCAGTTGAAAGTGTGGCAGCTTCAGCTAGATTTGGTCTGGTCCAGTAGATTCCTAATGCTTCTCCCACATTCCTTCTGTTGTCTTTCCATCTTCCTTCTAGGCGTTGCTCTCTTCAGGCTATAGGATGACTAGTTGGTATTTCACTGACAGCTTGAGAGTTTGGAGAGGAGAGTAGAGCATGGAGAGAATGATGTGCTGTTGGTCATTCATGAAGAAGGATCATCAGTGTGACTGTGCCAACACAGTGCCCATGTCCATCCCTACCCTGAGCTGACAGCTGCAGAGATGGGGAAGGCAATATTGGTGAACTTCAGTCAGTCAGTCTCCACTCCTTGAACTCAACAAGGTGACAATCCCTCTGCATGAGTTATTGACATGGAGGAATGAATGCTTGGAATGGTCACAGATTCTGTGTACTGTTCCTCAAGCATCATGTCCCCTGCCCATTGTAAAACCCACATAAAGACAGCACCTACCATTAAAGGTGCCTGAAGAATTTCTATTTTTTTTTGAGATTCTAAATGATTTTTTTAAATTTTTTTTTACATGTCAATCCCAGTTCCCTCTCCCTCCCCTCCTCCCACACTCCCCTTCCCCCCTCCCTCCCACCCTATTGCCAAATCCTTCCACATAGGGGATATCTAGAGTCTGTCATTTTACTCTTGGTAGGGTCAAGGCACTCCCCTAAGAGCTGAGAGAGCATCTCTCTTTGTGCTATAGGCACCTGAAGACAGTTTGTATACCAGGGATAGACACTGATCCACAGCTCAGGGCCCCATAGGTTGCCCAGGCCTTCTCACTGACACTCACATTTGGGGGGTCCAGATCAGTCCCATGCTGGCCTCCCCACTGTCAGTCTGGGGTCCAAGAGCACTCCCCTGTTCAGATCAGCTGTCTCTGCTGGTTTTGCCAGCCCATTCTTTGCCAATTTGCTCATCACTCCTCTCTCTCTGTCACTGGGTTCCTTGGGTTCAGTTCAGTGCTTAGTTGTGTGTTTGCCTCTGCTTCCATCAGTCACAGGATGAAGGCTCCTGGATGGTTATAGACATCAAGTTCATTATCAGGAATGGGCATTCGAGGTGGTCCCTCCACTATTGCTTAGCTTGCCAATTGATGTTATACCTTTAGATCACTCGAGGTCACTCTGGTGCCTGATCTGTCTTCGATC